CAACACTTCCCCAGCTGACTGCACAACCTTCAGACGAATTCCCAGCCCAGGCGTTGACTGCAGGGCTCACAGCAGCAAGAATGACATGTCTGAAAGCTGACACTTTAGCTTTTAAAAGAAATGTGGGGAAATAAGCTGTTGACTTCTTGGTTAAAGTATTTTCTTGTTCTAACTCATGTTCTTATGTCACTGTCTAAAAAGAGAGAGGGGGGAGAGAGAGGGAAAGAGAGAGAAAGAAGAGAGAAGAGAGATATGACTTTCCTTGAATGATCTGTTTAACCTAAGCCAGAGGGAAAAAAAGAAAGTCATTAATTACTTATGTGAGCTATTGCTTCAGAAAGACAATAAACCTGCCCGGTCGCCATGGATATGACATATTTGCTCTGAAAACAACACAATAATTAGCAAAGGGGAAAGATACAAGGAGAATATGCAAACTCCTGAGTTTAAAGCCACAGTGCTCTTTTCTACCCGTAAGCCTGTTGTTTGCAATCCAAATCAAAGAAAAATTTAAAATACAGCGAAGAGGGAGTAGCAGAATAGCTCCTGTCCTCGGAGATGAGAAACAACCAAGAACAACCACCACTCCAGCACCTCCAAAATAAAATAATATCAGAGAGAACCTGGATGGCAAGAAGGGAAAAAAAGTCAAATATAGCCTCTTTATTTCCTAAGGCAGGGTGGAGTCTGGGATTTGTTTTTTCTTTCTTCGCTTTTTTTTTTCTTCTTCTTCTTCAAGTGTGCTCTTATTTAGCATTGGACCTTCTGGCCAGATATAAATTTATTTATGAAAGCCAAATGCCCTGTGTGGGGCTCACCCCTCCCCAAAGTAAATGAAAGTGTGCAGGGCTGGGGGTTGAAAAAGCAAAGCAGTAGACTCAGAAAGCACCAGCCCTGCAGGGGTGGCACTCCCCCACCGCCAGGAAGATGGAGCCTGGGCCTTACTTTAATATTAAAAATGCATTAAATGGTTTTACCTACAACTTAGTCCCAGAGGATCATTAGGAAATGCAATCGCTTTGTATCATATCTGTCAGTGTGATAAATATCTGAGTTCAGAGTAGGTTTGCAATTTTTCAGAGTGTCACAAACCAAGATAATTTTTTCTTGCCTTACTTCCTTAATTCACTGCATCCACCCCTGAAAGGCACAAACCCACTGAAAAACACCCAGGAGTGAGGACAGAAGAGAGGAGGAAACGTTGAGATGCTCTCACACACTAGACAGAAGTTACTGCTATTCCCCTGGAAAAGTAGGGAAATCAGAACTTTAAAATATTTGGGTTACTATTTTAAAAAAAAATTAAAGCATTCCATTAAGTTTGAGTAAAAACTCCTTTTCCCCTCTTCCCAGAAGCCAATTTTCCCAAAACAGATGGTCAGCATCTAAAAGAGAAGCAAATATACCTCAACCCCCACAGGCAGAGAAATATAACTTTGAACTGGGTTTTAAATTAAAAGGGGTGGGGGGAGATAAACTATTAATAAGTATGAGAAATTAGCTGAGCTCCAAGTTTTGTTTTTCTTATTCTAAAAATTCTTTAAACACAAGGGAAGCAGATAGAAAGGAGACATTCACATTTGATTGACTTTCCTAGTTTTTTTAACAATAGTTTTTTTTTTTTTTTTTTTAGATTGGACTCTTTGATCTTGAAAGAATTTCGCTCTTATATGATGGGGGAGAAGGGGGTGGTGGTGAAATGATCTGTTTTAAATGATGATGCAACTTAGGGATCAAAGCCCTTCCCTTTCTTCTAGCCATAATAAACTGTACTTGCCACAAAGCGTGAGTCTCGGGACTCCTCTCCTTCGTAAGAAGGAAATAAAATGCAAGGAGACTCGGAGAAAGACGCCAAGTCTCTATAAGGTGCAAAGTCTTAAAAACAAACCAACCAAAAACCAGGCCACCCCACCCCCCCCCCCAAAAAAAAAACCAGAGGGAGGCACTGCCCCTTTAAACGTTTTAGTGCATATGGAGTTTGATTTCTGAAAGAGATCAGTTTAACATCTCCATAGAAACCAGCAACAGATTATCATCAACAGAATAAATAACTAGTCTAATAAATTAAACAGGAGGCATAAGATCGCTGGGAACCTGATTACTGAAGTTCAACAATATTCCCCATAAACTCTCGTTAGCCGCCTCTAAGGTGGCTAACAAGAAGGGGGGTGGGTAACCCCCCTGCGCGCCGGATTCCGGGGAGCGAGGCCGTGGCCGCCGGCCGCTGCCGGGAAGGGTGAAGTTCCTCGCCCCGCCTGGGAGAGGGTTCCGAGAGCTCGCGTGAGGGGCTCTCGGAAGGCCGAAGTTTGGGCAGTGAGAAGGCGGCTGGGAGTGGGGGGGTAGCGCGAGTGGCCAGGGCCGGCGCGGGACGCGACGCCCGCCGGGGACGCACCGCCTAGCCGCCACCAGGGCGCAAACCCCGAGCTCTGCGCTCCGGCGCCGAACCGCCCAGCGCCCCCTCTGGGCACGTGGAGCGCAGCCCCGGCGCAGCCCCCGGGGACCCACTACCCCCCTCACCACGCCCGGCGCAGCTGCTCCTGCTCAGCCCGGACAGCTCCCTTTAGGACGGCGACGCGTGTGGGGTGTGTGTGAGTGTGCGCGCGCGTGTGCGTGTGAGTGTGTTCGCGCGCGCGCCGAGGCCCGGACGGGGCGGGGGCGGGGGGCGCACCGAGGTACCCGGCGATCTGTCTTCCAGGGCCCTGGCGCGCTCTCGTCGCGCGTCCGAGCCAGTTTGGAGACGTCCTAAATTCACCAACTTTGCCCGCCACCACCCCAGCTTCCCCCTCCCTCCGCCCCCACCTCTTCAAGTGTTGGGGGTGTTGGCGGGACAACCACACGCGGAGGGCCGTGCCCCTACACTCGGCCGGCCGGAGCAGCGGCGCACGCCCCCCACCCCAGCTTCCCCGAGATCCAGCCGGGTCTGGGGGCGCTCCGGGCCGGTCGAGGGGTGTTTTCGCTGCTTCCCGGATGAACGAGTCTTACTCAGAGGCACCCGCACCCGCACCCTCCCCAGCGAGACTGGAAGCAGATCCTGGCCGCACCCGGGGCCGCTTTCCAAGCAGCGGCTGGGTCAGGAGCAACTTGAGTGGAAGGAGAAGCGGTCCCCCGTCTCCCTCGGCACGCCTCTCCGCCCCCAGCTCCGGACCGGGTCGGGGACGACTTGAAAAAAGAATCTGCACCCACCCCCTAGAGAAAAATCTATTATTATTATCTTAATCTACGCCCCCAAAGTGTCCCTCCGCCGTGATTGACGGCGCATACACCTGTTCCCCTCGCCGAAGATCTCCCAACGCCGGGGACGGACACCCCGGCGCTGCGCAGAGGCCCAGCGTCCGCCCGGCTCGTCCCTGCCCGCCGCCCCAGCACCCCTGCCCGCGGCCGGCCACCCCTGCGGCCGCCCCCTCCCCTCCCAGGTCCGGCTCCCCGGCCCGCCCGCTCCTGGCTGCGCTGGCAGGCTTCGGAAAGAGAGAAAGAACAGAAAGCAAAACTTCCTGGCGGCCGACGGCCATCAGCTGCACATTCTGCAAATGCCACCGAGTAAAAATAAACTGGCCGCCGCTCCGCCCGGCCGGCTCGCCCGGCGCACGACTCGGCCCCCTGCCCCGGGAGCTCCCTGACCGCGGGCTCCGCCCGACCCCCGTTCCCGCACGCTCCCCCGGCCCCGCTCCCCGACACGTCTGCCGGTCACCACGCGCTCCCTTGCTCGACCCCAAGTAACCAGGTGGCCCAGCCCTCTTCCCTTTGGTGCCCCCCTGTGCCCCCACAAGCTACTCTTCTCTCTGTCCTCCACCTGCTGTCTCCGTCGGCCGCGCGCCCCCGGAATTCAGGACTCCCCTTGCCCAACCGCTGCGCCCCAGGTCCCCCCGAGTCACCCCCGGAGCGCAGCCCCGGCCAGACCCACTCGGTCCGCGGCCCGGCCCTCCGCGAGCGCAGCGCTCCTCCCGCCGG